TGTCGTCTCGCGCCGGTATCATGGTGTGGACCACGTGTTTTGCCAGAAGCTTCATTATATCCCTTGATGGCCGATGCGTGTTCCAGGGGACACGCACAATATACGCGTTACACGCACTGACGCGCGTGAAGGTCGAACACACAATGGATGAACACTGTGTGTTCATCGCCCCTACAGGCGTTGTGCATACACGGTGTACCAATGGTACAGTACCATACGCCTAGATGGAACTTTAGGTGAGCCCCCTACAGTGATATCTCTTCCCGTGATGGGATAACTATATATGTAGTAGTACTTTAACAGTGCTCTTTGTCTATTTTTCCCCAAACGTACTACACTAATAAGCTGTACGCGTGACGGCTCTATCCGATGTTATCACTTCTGATCAATGGCTTCTCTATCTAACACTCTCACGGTGGAAGATCCACTCACGTTTGGCTCCTAGGTCAAACGTCAGATACCCTTTTCAGTTTTCAGTTAACTCCATCGTCCTCCACTACTATGGTGCGGTTCGCTTCCATCCTCCTTGCATCCTTCTGCGTAAGTTTCATGGTCGCCATCGAGACCTCTCCGTTGAAGGCTATTCCTTTGCCTAATGGGGAGTATGTCCCCTACGACCCAATGGTAGACGGAAACCTCATCTTCAATGCTCAGGAGCAGACCTTCGACATCAAGACTACAGTCGACGGTTGCCACCTTGATGTCACGGGAATGACGTTTTCCGCACCTACTCCCACTGAGACTAAGTACAAGTACAACATTGCTATCGGTTATGACAAGACTGACCTCGAGATCCAGGTCAAAAAATGTGTGAATACTCCGGTTACTATTGACGACTTCGCAAAACCTCTAGATTATTATTATTGTGTTGCTGAAAAGATGAAGAGGAACGCCATAGTTGCGCATTGGGGCAAGGCCCCCAGTATGTTCACCCATGAGGATAAATAATCCACAAGCCGCTGCCTGCTGCACCATATGGTCCGATCCAAATGTATCTCTCAGATCAACTACTTCTTTCGTGGCATTATTCGTGGTGCCATTTCCCTCTAGACAAGAAATGTAGGGCTCAGAATCGATTCTTGTCGAGATCCACTAGGCAAGCCATAGAA